ACTTTTTGAGGAACTGCCAAACAGTTTTCCATAAGAGCTGCACCATTTTACATTCGGGGTGGCCACTTTTTATTTCTAGATGCCCAATGTCAGCCCAGAGCCCGGCATGGCAGACACACTCAGTGAAAGATTGCTGAACAGAACTCTGCCTCACCTGGGTTTGAAGTTCTGAGACTCCTCCGTGAGTGGAGAATTTGAGAAAGGCTTTTAGGGACAGCAGGAAGAAAAAAGTCCAAAGATTTGCTGAGCTCCTTGGGTGCCACGTGCAGGACCAAACGCCTCCAAACGCCTCCAATTGTTATCTTGTTACCCCTCACAGCAATGGCTTTATAGGTGAGGAAACTGAGGCACAGAAAGGCCGAGTGTCAGCAAGGGCTGCTAACCTGAGGTAGCTTGCCTCACCTCTCTGGGCCTCAATTTCCTGTCTGTAAAATGGGATAAGAATGTATTTACCTTGGCGTATTGCTTGGGAGGACTAGAAAATGGATAGAGAAAAAGTGGTTCAGTGCAGGCGGGGCAGGGGTGGCAGGGACACTTGTCTCAGATGGGTGGGTGTCACTCAGTCTTGATGGAGCTCAGAGGGCACCAAGGGACAACTTCTCCTTTGGAGCTGATCCCCCAATTCTTTTCTTTTTGTTGTTGAGAATATACACAGTAAAACATACACCAAGTCAACAATTCCTACATGCCCAATTCAGTGACATCGATTTCATTCGTCGAGTGTAGCAACCATTCTCACCCTCCTTTTCTGAGTTGTTCCCCCCGCCCCGTTAACATAAAGTAACTGCCCCCTAAGGTGTCTATCTCATCTTTTGAGTTCCTGTTGTCACTTTGATCCCATATAGACAGTTCTTAAAAGAGCACAATGCTCTAGGCAGACATTCTTTACTAGTTGAGCTAAACTATTGCTTGTTTTAAAGAAGACTTCAGGGAATATTTTTGGTTTAAGGTTGATCTCCTTATTCTTTTTTTTTTTTATTGTACTTCAGGTGAAGGCTTACAGAACAAATAGTTTCTCATGAAACAGAAG